ATGAGTATAGACACAATTTCTCAGGTAACAAGGGGGTCGCTAGACCCACAGGAAGAACGAAGCTCTGTAAACGTTAGTACTGCATTCATGTTGTTCACTAAAACAAAAACTTGAAAAACGAATGAAAAAAAAAAAAAAAAAAACAATAAGTAGTTTAGTAGGTACTCACGATGGGTGAACTTCTTGAGAACGTCGTGCATAAATGCAGAGCTTCGTTATTCCTGTGGGTCTGGCGACCCCCTTGTTACCTGAGAAATTGTGTCTATATCCATGTCATGTTTGAAAAACTTTGTTCTCACCGTGGGTCCCATGACCCATTAATACCCCCTGATTTGTTGTTATGAACAAATAAGAAATTTTTGTTTTTTCGACTTACAAGTTTTTGTAGATTCTTGGATGATTTTACAAAATTTACATAGCTTCGAAAAATAGGGGCATTTCACGGAATTCGTCCAAACATTGCAGTCGTTATTGCACATTTTTTTATCCAACAAGGTTTGAAGTTTTCGTATAATATAGTCCTATAAATACGTGGAATGAGCAATGCATGAACAGGGGGTTGATATAAAAAAAGTTCAATTCAAATCATAAACTGCTCATTCCACATTATTTTAGTACTAGATTGTACAAAAATTTTAAGTTTTGTTAGATTAAGAAATGTGCAATAATGACCTCGTAACGCTTAGATAAATATCGTCAAAAGCCCTGTTTTTTAAAACTTTATCAATTTTCTACTAAGTACACAACTAAGGACTTAACGAAAAAATGACAAGATTACTACTTTTTCTCTTAAAATTACCCACAGAAGCAAAAACAAAACTTTTTTCAAGCCAAACAAACATACTTATTCGTTTATAAAAAATGTGTATAAGTTATACTTGAAATTAAAATTAAGCCTCGATCGGCAACGAAAAGTATACCCTGGCTCCCACGAGTGATATTTTTTCTACCAAAGCCACGAAAAACGTCCAAAAGTTGAAAAAAAAAAAAAAAAAAAAAACCGCCCGAGGTATTGAAAAGTTGTATTCAGTATTGTATAAATAAAGTAATCATTTTCAAATGTACATTCAATATACATTGTAAGAAGCCATCACAAAAATGAATAATTTAGTCGTTCATAATATTTCTTACCATATTTTGTCGTCGATTGCGTTTACTTGCATTAAGACATGTCCATTAACGGCCAAAAGAAGGAGTTCTAGCTTCTTAAACGAATCAAATATATGCGTAGTACATAATATTTTACCACTGATGAAAATTGTGTGGGGACACAGTATTTTATGCACATCACTTTAGCTGATTGTGGAACGTAAGTTGGTATACAAAACTACACCCTGAACTTATCTGACACGTAGACCTCGGGCAGTTCCATCGATGTTCTCCAGAAAAAAACAAACGTGCCCTACATGCAGCTGCACAGATTGTTGAACGAGAGAAAGAAAATAACTGTAATTTGGACTGTAAGTACCTCAAATCGCTAAATTAATGTTTTATATAAGTTCAAATACTGAGAATCGGGTTGTACGCAATGTACAGGGGCGATGACAATGATGTAGTTGGCGTTGAGCCCTTCTCAATTTGAATTTTTCAGGTGAGGAATCTCTTGCCTCAGATTTCCAATAGTGCGTATTTACAGTAATTATCTTGTTTCTTCTTAAATTGATTAACTTATTTATTTAATATATTATACCCCACCAAGTCGGTTATGGTCTTTATACTAGTTTTACCCTGTTCACGCATATTTATACTTGAGATAATGTGTTTAAATGTATTATAAATATTTCAATACTTTAGTTTGTAATTTATACTAAAGGTAAAAAAAATACCATTCAGAACAATGAATTTACCCCCGGTCTTTCCTTGTTTCACGAGTATCAGCGTATTAAAAAATTCAATTCCATCAAATTTATTTGATTCTAAGCACCTCCTAAAAAGACGTTGCACTGTCCTTAAGAAACATTATTCATTCATATGATAGATGACAGCTTGTGACAATAAAATAATGTAAATTGCTGTGCTAGTACTCAAAAACGATATCATTTTGCGTTTAAAATATTTTTTTGTTTTGTTTTCAATTTGATTGTTTCTGTTTATCAAGTAGAGACTAAAAACATTAAATAGAACTTACCTGATATCCTTTGACCTCAAAATTTTGTCATTGTCTTTATTATTTAAGCAGTACTGATTCTTTTGGAGGAAAGAAATGTTTCAAGTATTGCGAGTTTGCAGTTGACTTTCGCGTTGGTCTGGCGATGGAGAAACGGATAGTTCTGGATATTGCCAAAGATTATTTGGATGAGTATATTCGGGGCGCTCTGAGAATTACAAATTTCAAATGCCTGCTTGATGCGATTGCGTGGAAAATTTTATTGTATCTCAATATGAGAGAGCTGAAGAAATTTGCAAGAATCAATTTAATATACGTGCGTTGAAATGTCTGTCATTGTTTTGACAACTGTGTGCATGACACTGTTTATGTAATTTTGATCTGATGATTTCCGTTAAAAAATTGTCAAATAAAAAAATACAGAGATAGAAAAAAAAGAGACATGCTTTGGCCAAAGCTTTATTTCATTTATCATGAATTTCAGTGGATGAGGGGTTGGTGCTAGTATTTTCAAACAGTAAAAAGCTTGGCACAAAATTTTTTAGCTTTATAATTACAACGGGCATTATTTTTTATAGTCTTTTATCTCACAGCTCTAATCATATATTAATTATATGTATACAACCGATTATTGAATTTGATTTACATTTACGAATATTTTTATATTTTCCTATTAAATTTTATTATACTATTCCTGCATTTTCTATCATGTCAAAAGTAAGAAAAATTAAT